GCGTGTATCGAGGTGCCGGTTTGCGAGTATTGGGTGCAGCTTCCCTGCTCGTGCTTTGCCCTTTTCCGCTACCTTGGACATGTGTGCATTCCACGAGCAGTCGTTTGCGATCTCTACTCCGAGGTATGTGTACTGGTCCACTACTGCAATCTCCTCGATCCCCCACTTCCATCTATGTTCTACTGGTTCCTCCCTGTCCTCGTTGCATACCATGACGGCACTCTTCTTACCGTCGGCAGACAATCTCCATTCATCAGTAAACTTCTTCGCCGCGTCAATTTGTAGTTGCAGTCCCTCAGGCGTGTCCGACATACCAACAAAATCATCCGCAAACAGCATTCCTGACACCGAAGTTTCCGCGTCCCCTACTTTTACTCCCTTCCGGACTGCCTCTACGACTTCCAACAGATCGTTGATGAACACCTGGAACAATGTTGGGGACAGCGTGCAACCTTGTGGGACCCCCTGCTCAATGTCGAAGAACTTAGACAGTTCTCCGTCTAGCATGACCGCGCTTTTCGTACACTCTGTCATCTTCTTCAGCACTCTCCACATTTTCCCCTTGATCCCGTACTTGGACAATTGTTTCCACAGCCCATTTCTCCATACGGTATCGTATGCCTTTTTCACGTCAGAGGAAGAAGAAGTACGTCGGCTTTCCCGCCCTCTTTCTACCTTGGATGATTCTCCCTACCGTGAATGCGTGGTCTACGCACCCCTCGTTTGTCGGAAACCTGCCTGGCCCTCACTAATGCTACGTTCCTTCTCCAATACTCCCACCATCCTACCTATCGTTCAGCAGCTTACAAAACACTTTTCCTACAGCTGTGTTCAACAGTGTGATACCCCTGTAGTTTCCTCGGTCAGTCTTGTCTCCTTTCTTAAACAAGTTCACAACCACTCCTTCCCTCCATCTACTTGGCGCATACTCGTTTTTCCACACCCAGTTGTACAGCAGTACCATCAACTCGATCATCCCCTTTCCCCCCAAACTTCATGAACTCGTTGACTATCCCATCCGCCCCTGCTGCTTTGTGGCACTTCAACGTGTTCACGCACGCCTCAACTTCGTCCTCCGTGAACTCCTTTTCTAGTTCTACGTTCCCAACGTCTGCCTTCGACATCTCTTCTTCTCTCTGGGCCCATGCGTCCACCTCCTTCTTAAACACTTGGTCAAAAGCTTCATTCTCCGAAGGCACTCCAAGTCTCTCGCGGGGGGGGGTGTACTCATAGTCGTGCATGCCGTAGTCGTTTGACCATTGACCTTGCATCCCTACAAAGCCGGGACGGAGCATGCCGGGTTCTCACCGGACCAGGCTCTCACATCACCAAGCGCGAAGCGCCTTGAGGTATTCGGCGAGTCGCATGAAGGGTGAGCTGCATCCTGCTAAGGGTGTTCGGCATCTTGTGCTTACTTCCTGGCGTACGGATGACAGCTACGTATGACTTAATTTATTTTCTGGTGCTTTCACTTCCAGAGACAGTTGTAAGCACTGTGTAACTGCCTGGAGGAAGCTTGACCATTTTATCACAACGTGGTGCGATCATCCCCCGTTGCGCGGAGTGAGGGTTCTCGACCCCGCACAACATGATGTACTCGACCACCATTATGGTTACCGCCAAAAAAAAAACGAGGTAAAAAAATAAAAACGGTAACCTGGGTTGCCGAGTTCACGAAGTGAAATTGGCTTGTTTTACGACGTCGTTGCCAAGCGACGAAAACCCAATCCCGATGGCAAACACCGAGTGGGGGGGCTTGTTTTACAACGTCGTTGCCAAGCGACGAAAACCCAACCCCGATGACAAACACCGGGGGGGGGGGCAACTGCCTCGAGGGTGCTTGCCCATTTTAACACAACGTGGTGCGATCATCCCCCGTTGCGCGGAGTGAGGGTTCTCGACCCCGCACAACATGATTTACTCGACCATTATTCATGGTTACCGCAAAAAAAAATAAAAAACGGGGGGGGGGGGCGGGCGTACTCTTAGGTTGCGCATGTCTTAGTGGTTAGACCATTGACCACGCGTCCTCGAGAGGACGGAGCATTGTTCCCACAGGACCGATCACCGATGGCCAATCGTTCCTTCCTCCTCTGCCAAAGGTGGCTCAAAAATGTCTTCCCTAGTTTGTCTATCCTAACGATATCCCTTCCCGCCATTTCAAACCACTTCCTACTCCCCAGTACAGCTACCGTCCTCTCCTCTCTATTCCATGCCTCAAACATCTCCCTGTACCTCCCTTGTATTTTTCCCAGTTCGGTCATGTACACTTCCCTCTCCTCTTCGTACCACGGACATTCCGCGACTACATGAACACGGTCTTCGCATTCGAAGCCGCAATCACATTTGAACTTGTCGTCTTCGTCGTCTACCGTCCTATGTCTTCGTCGACGTTCTCGAAGGCCCATGTCCCCGGTCCTGAATTTGACCTTAAGCTTTAATCCCTGCATCCATTGGTCCATGTAGGTAGTCCTTGAACCCTATTCCCTCTTTCAACATTCCGTACACTTCTAGACCCTCCTTATCCTTGGTTTCTTTCCTTAGATTCCGTTCTTCTCTCTCGGCACAAGCAACATATGTCTTCTTCTTGAACCCCTATAGACCCTCCGTTTCCATCGTTTCATCTTCGTCGATGTCTAACCCCTTCCATACGTCCTCTACAACCTTGACCCATTCCGTGGGTTGTCTACCCCTCTTTTTGTTTGCCCACTTCGCCTCCCATACTATTCTCGGGAACCTCTCCTCTCCCATCCCGCACATGCGATACTGCCGTGTCAGCTTCCTTGCGTCTCTTCCCGACCGTAGGGATTGGATCCCCAATTCTGCTCTTACGGCTGCATTACTTGTGCGCTTGGAGCATCCTAGGATGATTTTCGCTGCTTTCATCTCGCCGCTTCGAGTTCTTTCACTACCTTCTTATTTCCGTCCCGTACTTCTCCGGCGTACTCTGGCGGCGGTACGATTACGCTATTCAAAACAGCCAATTTGATGCGTGTATCGAGGTGCCGGTTTGCGAGTATTGGGTGCAGCTTCCCTGCTCGTGCTTTGCCCTTTTCCGCTACCTTGGACATGTGTGCATTCCACGAGCAGTCGTTTGCGATCTCTACTCCGAGGTATGTGTACTGGTCCACTACTGCAATCTCCTCGAT